AGGAAGGAAGGAAGGAAGGAAGGAAGGAAGGAAGGAAGGAAGGAAGGAAGAAAAAGAAAAGAAAGAAAGAAAGAAAGAAAGAAAGAAAGAAAGAAAGAAAGAAAGAAAGAAAGAAAAGAAAAGAAAAGAAAAGAAAGAAGAAAGAGGAAAAAGAACTTCATAAAAGGAAAACCTGGCAGACACCACCTTCACCAAGTCACCAAGGCTAGCATTGCCAGAGATGAGTCACAGGGACATTGTGTGCCTCCTGGCATCACGTGATGAGAAGTGCATTTTATTTACCTCTGTGGTATTCTTCCCCCAAACCCATAACTCCTGGCTAGTCATGAGGAAAACATCAGATATACCCAAATTGAGGGCTAGTCCACAGACTAGAACTTCCCAAATTGTCAAGGTCATGAAAACCAAGGAAACACTGAGAAACTGTCACAGACCGGCGAAGACTAAGACGCGGCAACTGAACGCAGTGTGGGATCCTGGATTGGATCCTGGAACAGAAAAGGACGTTAGTGGGAAAGCTGGTGAAATCCGAATCAAGTCTGGAGTTCAGTTAACAGCAACGTGTTGGTTTCTTACTTTTGACTACTGTATCGTAGTCACAAAAGACGCTAAGAATGGGGGACGTTGTTAAGGGGGTGGATGGAACTTCCTGTACTATTGTTGCAATTGTTGTATAAACCTAAAAGTATTCCAAAACAAAAAGCTCATTTTTTAAAATCACATGGGGCATAAATGTCAGAAGCAGAATTCAAATTCCAGGCTGGGCCTGGGCACTGTGGCTCATGCCTGTAATCCCAACACTTTGGGAGGCCGATGTGGGCGGATCACCGGAGATCAAGAGTTTGAGACCAGCCTGGCTAACATGGTAAAACTCCATCTCTACTAAAAATACAAAAATTAACCAGGTACGGTAGCACGCACCTGTAATACCAGCAACTTGGGAGGCTGAAGCAGGAGGAGCACTTGAGCCTGGGAGGCAGAGGTTGCAGTGAGCCGAGATTGCACTACTGCACTCCAGCTTGGGTGACAGAGCAAGATTCCATCTCAAAATGAAAAAAAATTGACCAGGTGTGGTGGTTCATGCCTATAATCCAGCACTTTGGGATGGCAAGACGGGTGAATCACCTGAGGTCAGGAGTTCAAGACCAACCTGGGGAACATGGTGAAACCCCACCTCTACTAAAAATACAAAAAATTAGCTGGGCGTGGTGGCGCATGCTTGTAATCTCAGCTCTTTGGGAGGCCGAGGCAGGAGAATCACTTAAACCTGGGAGGCAGAGGTTTTGGTAAGCCAAGATCGCACCATTGCACTCCAGCCTAGGCGACAAGAGCACAATTCCATCTGAAATAAATAAATAAGTAAAATTATTTTTAAAAATTCAAGGCTGGGCATGGTGGTTCATGTCTATAATCCCAGAACTTTGGGAGGCTGAGGCAGGTGGATCACTTGAGGCCGGGAGTTTGAGACCAGCCTGGCCAACATGGTGAAACCCCATCTCTACTAAAAATATAAAAATCAGCTGGGCATGGTGGCAGACACCTGTAATCCCAGATGCTCAGGTGGCTGAGGCTCGAGAATCACTTGAACCCGGGAGGCAGAGGTTACAGTGAGCCGAGATTGCGCCACTGCACTCCAGCCTGGCTGAAAATGGCCTCCAAAAGATATCTATGCCCTAGTCCTTGGAACATGTGAATGTTACATTATATGACCAAAAAGTGGAGAGGGGTTAGAGAGTTTTTGCAGATGTGATTTAAATTAAGGATTATGAGATGGGGAGATCATCTAGGTGGGCCCAAATGCAATGACTTGTTTGTCAGAGGGAGGCAGAGGGAAATTTGATATAGACACACAGAAAAGGAAATGTGCAAACAAAACAAAAATAAATAAATAAAAGGCAATGTGCCCACAGAGGCAGAGACCAGAGTGACAGGGCTTCAAGTCAAGGAACACTGCAGCCACCAGCAGTGGGAAGAGACGAGGCGCCATTCTCCCCCAGACCCCCGGGACGGAACAGAGCCCCCGGGTGTGGGCCCAGTGCTGCTCATTTTCAACTCCTGGCCTCCAGAACTCTGAGAGAAGAAAATATTGTTTTCAGTCACTCCGTTTGTGATAATTTTGTTATAGAAGCCACAGGAAACAAATACAAGAACTAATCAAATCTCTCTATTTTTTTTTTTTTTTTTTTTGAGTTTC